GCAGTAATTCCTGGTTCCAAAGCGTTGGCCACTTTGTCAGCCTCTCTTTGCACTTGACCTTGGGTGTGCACGGTATTCATGAAGTGGCTGTGCTGATTTGAGTGTTACTCACTGTATCTCTGATTCTTCTTCATCGTAATGAGCACTCAAAAAATGTCTGAAGAAGCAATAATGGTGAAATTTTCACATTTCAAAGAAAGCATATTTGCTATCAAAACTTCTATTCATTAGTAATGCTTTGTAACTGAATAAGAAACAGCTGTTTTTGTTGTTGTTGTTTTTTCCCTGGGGAAATGATGTTTTATTTGATAAAGCATACATGTGTAGACAGCTTTCTTGGATATTTTCCTTTGCTATTGCTAGAGATGCTGTGTTTTCTTATTTATTTGTTGGCCAATTCTGTTCAATTAAATTAGATACATCTTTACATGTGGGCAGGTGTCATAATGCAGCTATCTTCTTGGCTTTCTGTGCCATCACTGGGAAGGAGTTGTTAGATGCTGATAGCACTGGAGCATTTGCACAGCTTCAAGCCCCACAGCTTACTGTCAGGGATCCTGGCGTGTTAGCTAAGAGCCAAAGCACTGATGTTATGAAGGGTATTTCTTCAGTCTCTTAAGTATTTTCAGAGCAGAAAGTTTACTTTCACTGAATGTCCTAAACTGGGGAACCGCATGGCAGACAGAGTACAGGAGCAGTACAGTGAAGCCTGCGGTGTTTTCCCATGTACCTGTTGCTGTAAGTTGAGCAACATGAGGGGTTGTACATACTGAAATTTTATTTTCAGGATTACCTATGTTAAACAGACCAGAAGAGGGTTTAGGCAAATAATGAACTAAAATCAGGCAACTCTTTTTAATGCGCTCTTGAGGCCTTTTCTACTTGTTCATATCAAATAGTACCTATGGATATGAAGTGTTAGTTTCTATTAACGTTCTGTTGTGTGATTCGACTGGAAGTAGTTTATAGTTACATTACAAACAGTGTTAGTAATTTTTGTTTGTTTTTTAAGCTTTTGTACTAAGTGTATAACAAAAGAAGGAGGAAGGTCCTCAGTTCTAGCAGCAGCTAGATTCTGCTCAGGCTCCCCAACTTCTTGCTGTGCAAAGACTCGATCTGGCTGTGTGTGTTTGCATGCTGTTCACATATGCATGCACAAACCAGGGCAGCTCCTTGTTTCAGGGAGGAGGGCTCCGCATTCTGCTCTTGTGGCTGCTGCTCTTTCTGGAGGTCAGAAATGTGACCTCACATGTGCTGCTTTTGTAGCTTTTTCCTTTCAAACGCTAAAACACACAAGTGGGTTGATACGTTGAAAAATTCAAAGCTCAGTTGACTGCAGTACAGCATTTTCATCTGTGCAGCAGCTCGCGCTGGGTGCTGACATCTTCTGTTCCACGTAAGGCGTGGGGTGCAGGCTGCGCTCTGCCCCTGCACACAGCTGCCGTGCGGCCGCTGCCCTCTGCCTCCCGGTGCCACCGGGTCTGCGGGGCGTGAGGGGCTCTGCTGCTTCCTGCAGCCCTGAGAGCCCCTTCCCAGCAGCACCAGCCATCCACGCAGCTGCTGCGTTTGTTACTGCGCTCATTTGTTTCTTTTTGTACATAAGAAATAAAGATCTTTCCTGTTGTCTCAAGCGGTTGTTGGTTTTGCAACAGTATTCTTTAAAATCTGCTTTTTGAAAACATTTGTGTTTACAAGCTGGAGTGCAGCACTGTTGTCTTAACGTTTCGACTGTCCCTAATTGCTATGACACATGTAACTAATGATGTTTTGTGCTTTCAAGGAGCGCACTAAAAAGGTGATGACATACGAGTTTCTGAATAAGGTACTGTGCGACTTGTGCAGTGGAGTTTGTGCAGACCTTATGTAGCATAATAAGCAGCTTTCCTGTGCCCATGTTTGTTTCCCGTCAGACTGGCCTGTCTCCAGCAGTGAGCTGCATCGCAGGAGGAGAGCAAAGCAGAGTGCCGACCTCGCTGCCTGCCTGGGTCAGGCTGGAATTGGCTGTGGTGATTTGTGGCAAATGCGTTGCGCGCACACACACACACACACACGCATTTGTGAGGAAATTGAAAACATTAAACTTAAAAGTAAATTTCAGATTGCCTTTTTTTGTTTACTCTGCAGCCACATTCCTCTTCTTGGGGTCTTTGAACTTCAAATTCTGTGAATAACCTCCCATCCACAACCTTTTTCTGTGTTGCTTGTACAGCTGTGTGCATGTCTCTGTGTGTGTGTGTCTGTGTGTGTCTGTGTGTGTGTCTGTGTGTGTGTGTCTCTGTGTGTGTCTCTGTGTGTGTCTCTGTGTGTGTCTCTGTGTGTCTCTGTGTGTCTCTGTGTGTCTCTGTGTGTGTATCTGTGTGCACGCATGTGTGCGTGCTCACATGCTGTGGTGCTCTGGGCAATTTCACTGCAGAGCTCTTCCCTTCCTTTGTTTAACCTCTGACCTGTGAAAACAAGAGTTAATCAAAACTTCTAAGGTAGCTAAGGGGAAGGGGAAGTGTTTGGTTACAAATTAAATATGAGCAAGTCATAAGCCATAAATCTTCAGCAGTGCTACCAGTTGTGCTGCTTCAGCTGCATGTGGCACAGAAGGAGTCTGACTGAACTCTGCCCCATCTCTATGGCAGGGGCTGCTCAGAGGCACAACCCACACCTTTCTTCTTTGTGACAAATATCTTGAAAAAGCTTCAAATAACTGTTTCTTGGTCTGTGATAGCAATTCAGTAGTCTAAATACCTGCAGGACTCTACGGGACCTTAAACGTTTAAAATATTGAATTGATTTGAATTTTAAAGCTGGTCATGCACCTCTTTGGCTCTTCAAAAGCAGAAGGAGCTCCCACAGATTCCAGAAGTGTAACTTCTTGTGGTAATAAATTTGCCATACAATTCATGTGTAATAGATAGGGTAAATACACGGATATTATAGTAGAGTAAGATGGCAGAGCTTAAAGTGATTGATTACGTGATATATTCATTATGTCAGACTTGGCTGAAGTTGCTTTATGGAAGCTCCGCAGAGATTCACAACTGATTTCTTTTTGTGTTTTTTATGTGTCATATGAACCCAGACTGAGTATTTAGATCTGTAATAAATGCATAGATTTTTTTCAAAGCTACTTAGCACTGGTGTAATTCTTTTATGAAGACATTATTAAACTTTTTAGCTGAATCAGCAGCTTTTGGGAGTTTTCCGGAGTATCTTGTTGTTGTTGTTGTCTTGCACCTCTCTTGAGCACAAGCATAAATCCCTCTCTGAATCGTGTTGTGTTGAGATCTGCTTCAGACATGGACTTATTTCCTGAGCAATTAAGCAGAACTTAAATGTGCCTTCCTGAAGTAAGTTGTGGTTTTCATTCTGCTGGCGAGCTTTTTGTCTTGCTGGTGTTCTGTTTTTTTCATCTTCTGACTATCTTTGGTTGATAGCTTGCAAGGATTTGTTTCCTGGGTTCTTAATCTCTACTTAGCAGATAGGTTTTGAGAGGATTTCTTGTTACTCTTGTAATGGCTTTTAACTCCGCTGAAGTTTATTTAACTAAACAGAAAAAAAGAAACCTATCTTCTGCCTAATCCTTCTTGAATGTTTACAATATATGCCAAACTTAAATGCTGTTTAAAGTGGTAATTGTCTGTCTTTCTGCTCTATTCTAATACACTGTTTGTAAAGATACTTAAAGCATATTAATTTAAATGATAATACTGTCATATAGCATGAAAAGTTAAGTTTCTTATCAGTGTTTTCTGATAAGCTACTTACATGTTACAGTAGCGTTTTCAGGCTTCAAACAAATGATAATGATGGAGTGCCGTTCACTTTATCTGTCTCATATATAGCTTCTCACTTCATTTATTACTGAAAGCTGTACAGTTAGGAAACACAGGGCACTCCATTCTTTATAGATGTCAGGATGCAGCCATATTTTATAAAAACTTTAAATCTTGTCTAACTCTATCAAAATAGAATCCATTTGCTTCAGAAAGCATCTGTGATTAAAAGAAGAGTCAGTCTGTGCGTCATGTCAACTTTCTTTCCCATTTGCTGCAGCTGAGGGGAAATTCCATGCTGGGATTTAAAAGGGAGCTGAAATAAAGAACTGTGCCATGAAGATGTGGTCCAAAATCAGGCCAAAGCAAAATGGTGAAAAATAACATCTTAGTTGTCGTATTTTATTGAGTGGGGATGTAAAGGAAATAAAAAAGATGGGATTTTCTGAGCGTTGTGTCTTTGTTTAATGAGATGCTTTTGTAAGTTGCTGGCAGACTTACTTCAATGTGACCTAACTTAGCTGAGCTAAATGCAGTGATACAGGATGCAGAATAAGATTTAGTAGTCATGATGGCTTATTAAAAAAAATCAGGATACTGCTTTTGTAATGTAAATAAAGTAAATGAAGAAGCCTGTTGTGTCTGTTTTCAAACCCAAAACAGCTGTTTATATTGAGTTTCCTGATGTTCAGCAGCTATACTGAAGACTAGTAACTAGCTGTACTTTTTGGATAATTATCATTTAAAATATTCTACCATACATGAGCACAGGTAAATTTGTGTGCAGTTCTTTGGTGGATCTGTGTAACAATCTGAATGTTTGTTTCATGTGGGGTGAGAAGAAATTCCTGCAGACTTCTGGCATTCACTGATCTGCTCTCAAAGCTTATTTACAGCCAGTACTGTGTTTTAAGCCAGGTGCCCATGAGTGATTGGAAACTCTGGGAAGGAGTTATTTTTGCTCAGTGGCCAATGGAAGGGGATGCTTCAGCCTTCTTGCAGTGCTCTCCTTCTCATCAGTCCTTCAGTGAAGGTCCAATGTGACTTTCCTAGCAGATGTGTGCAAAGTGTGTCCAGTGAAGACTGTTGTTGAGGATGCAAGTAAATATAGCCAGTGATCTTGGATTTACTAACTGAAGTTTAACAAGTTAAATGTATGCTTTTTCTTCCTTTTTTTTTTTTTTTTTTTTTTGTTTTGTTTTGTTTTGTTTTGTTTTTGTGTGTGTTTTTTTTTAGTTACCTACCATGGTTTGAAGTCTTTTATAAGCTGCTCAATGTCTTGGCAGATTATTCAGCAAAAGGACAGGTATTATTCTAAAGTACTAACCCTTCTCTTCCCTGCCCCAATATCAAAACGTGGGAGAGAGACTGAAAAGCAAGCTGTTTTAACAGAGAGCAGACATGGCCATGTGAATTTATGAATCTCTATTATGCACTGATAGCAAAGTACTTATTCAGCTAGGCTGAAAGTTTGTCAACCACCTATGAAAAGTAAATCAGCTTTTAAATTGTTTTTGAGAAAAGAATGCATTTAAGAACTGTGACTGTGGATCCAATTCAAGTTAATGGTTTCCCTGCAGTCACTTAAACTCTTTGATGACCTGAGCTGTGTTCACCACATCATGCAGTTCCCAGATCGTGGTGCTTCATGCACCTTGAGCAGATCAATGTCTTATCAAACCTTACTTGTCATGTAAAGTAAGTGAAGAACTGAGTTTAGTGATGCAAAATGCTGACCCAGGTAGCTTAATCTGGCCTACCTCTTTTACATGCTGGTTTTGCTTTGAAAGCAAAACAACATAAAAATGAGTTTTGAGGTAATGTAAGAATGTAAACTAAGCTATTAAAATTTGATTCTAGTTTTATGAAAGGTAGTTCATGATACAGAGAGATCGTGATTGCAATGTCTAGCTTAGTTTCATCTATTTAAAATGTTGCAACTATAATCTTAGGTTGCTGCTTTGATTTATTTTGCAGTAATTAGTTTGCATTTGTCAGAAACATTGCTGTTTGAGGTACAGTCATGTAGGATTGTATCTTCTTCTACGGGGGCTAAATACTTCTTGTTTTAGCCTAAGCTAACGAGTTGTTGTAAAGGACTTGCAGTGCAAACTGGCTTGCTCCAAGCTGAGTAACTATGTACTGATATATTGGTGACTTAGGTTGCAGAAATAACGTGAAAATATGTATGTGGGGATAAAATGTTAAAAAAAATTATAAGATCACCTATCAGAGGAAACTACGTTTATTACTGTGCGTACTCTGATGTATCAAGCCATTCTAACACCTGCCTGTTCTCTGCCCCCCCCATAACAGACATTATCCTTCTGTTTTCCAGTTAGTTTGTTGTAGTAATGCGTACTTTGTTTTCCTTTGTTTTCTTGTTTTGTTCTTTTTTTTTTTTTCTTATTTCAGGATAATCAAAGGAATGAGCTTCTGGAAACATTTCATAAACTTAGCATCCCTGAGCCAAAAACCCCTGTTCAGCTTGGATTGGTGAGTGAAGAGTAAAATAAGATGTAAACTGAGGTGTTTAATTTTCATTGCTTGCCATAATAGAGAAATGTCCAAAGCAGTTCTCCTTTTTGGGACTTGGCATGTAGATATTGTTTTCCTATGAGGACTCAGAGCTGTGAAATTCCCCTTTTCACATCTGAGGCCCTCTGTTTCCCTTTCCTTAACCTCACATGTCTTTGAAATGCTGTTCTTTGATTGGAGGAGGATTGTATGTACTCCCCATGGAAATGTCTCACCGTATCATTTGCGACCTGCTAGAGGTCACAGAGCAGCAGCATGACATTTATTGTCCACACTTCTGCAGAGCTCTTAGACCATGTGAGTGTGCATGGGGCAAGACTGGAAAGCAGTCATGTACTGTTGTAACAGTGTTCTGATTGCTAGCTGTTAATTGAGTTTTCTAACTTCTCCTTTCTCCCGGAAAAACATTCACAAATAAGGTTTTATTTCATATAAATGTTTTGTTAGAAACCTTATCAAAGACCACTGAAAGAATAGATGTGGGATTTTATTGAAGGGATTGTGGTTTGAAATTAGTCTTTTGGGTTGTCTGTGTTCAAATTAATTTTCGTAGAACTACTTTCTGTACCAGGTTGTAGTGGAAAAGTACTAAAGATGCATGTTGGTGCAGTTGCCAATTAGTCATTTGGAGTTCACATGGAAACAAGTGATGTGTGCAGCCAGTTTTCTTCTCCCACTCTCTTTGCCTTTAGTCCTTCTTCTAAAGTATTTTTTGGCTACCACCAGCTTGCTCTCATCACTTCACTGTGATGTCTGTCGACAGGTAACAGTTGTTGGCCTTGCTCAGGTCACCAGTTGGAAGTAGAAATGCTCCAGTCCTTTTGAGGCTGGCTGTTCTATGAATGGCATTTCTCTTTGACCAAAGGAAGAGCTGTCTTGAAAGTCAGTGATCATTTGGGATATTCAGGTTTTTTTTTTCATACCAGTGGTTTCAAGGAATGCTGCTGTTCTCCCCTTGCCTCAGACATTTCATGCGCAGTGAAGCAAGAAAATGTATCAAGAAGCAGACTAAGGAGTGTGCTAGGGTATCTTTATGCATTTTATTTTGGCTGTTGGAAGGCTGTCTTGGGATTGGAGTGAGGCTCCTAAATGTGATACAGTTGTGTATTCTACTACTGTGCTTCTTCATCTTTCTAGCCAAGTAAAACAGTGGTGTATCAAAAAGCAAAAGTTGTGTTTATAGAAATTCATTGTGCTCAGTGTAGCTGGTACACCTGCTGGCTATTTCAGCCTACGGACTGTTGATGAAGCACTGAAACGTATGGGATGTGTACAAGAAAACTGTGCCAGTGGTGGAACTATGCCAAGGATATACAACCCTATAAAGCTTCAACAAATAATAAAAAGTCCTAAGATTGTAAACACTGTGAATACAATGTAAATTGTTGTAACATCAATTTACAAGACAAGTTAGTTGCACAATCTTTTCCTTTCTCGGTGCTGTAACCAAGAATCATGCAAGTTGTGTGTTATCAGAATGGGAACTGGAATGAAGCTGTTTTCTTGGAACGCAGTCAATTAAAAAAAATTAACAATATAACGGTCTGTGAAAGTGGGAAATCAGTTGTCTTTCAAATTCTTTAAGGAAGGTAAAAGTGGCTAAGAACTTGAGTCATAATTTGACAGATTGGTGTAAGAACATAGGACATATTTCTTGGAAATTTCCATAACTTTACTACTGTCTTTAATGAAACTCACTAAAAAGTTAGAAAAGGACCTCCTTGCCTTTGTTTCCTGGTTCACTGTGCAGCTTGCCATGGGCTATGGAAAGCTAGTTTGAGTTACAGACTGCCTTGGATATTTCTTGGCATATGTCATATGTGCTGTGCAAGTCTGTCTGTGTCAGTACCTGCAGAACAAAGGAACGCCATCTTACCTGATTACATATCGTGTTGCATTTGGGATCTGAGATTTCAGCTTTTGAAATCTAGAACAAGCAAATCATCTTGGTAGTTGGTAATTAATGTTTTGTCCTTATTACTTGGTTGAGCAACTGCTAATATGAAGCACAAGTTTAGAATGCTTTTGACAATATCAAAATAATCACGTTTTGCTCTTCTTTTATAGCACTCTTACTTTACTGTGCCTGACATCAGAGAGCTTCCTAGTATACCTGAAAATGTGAGTATAATAGAGGACCATGCACTTTATTTTGCTGATGATACTAAAAAGAAAAGGTAAAGAGGTAGCATTACCTCTGTTTGCCCTGATAATATATTGCATTCAGTAAAACACTGCTGGTTGTTGAAATAAAATTTAGGTGTTTAATTTATACTGAGTGGTGTGAGAGAGAGAAAATGGTGTTTCTAAGTGCAAAGGTACAGGAGTAAAAGGCCTATTGAAGTACATCTACATCATACCAGAGTGAAGTTTTTAGTATTTGCCCTGCTAATTAAGCAGAGGTATCAAATGACTGAGGGAGTAGCAAATTTACAGAATAATTATCTTAAGCTGTAAGTAGAAATCGTTACTCGAAAAATACAAAGCCATGTATTATTATCACTCTATTTTTACAAGCTGTTAACACTCAATAATTTCTTTGTCCTAATGAGTGAGAAAATTTAAAATCTATAGTTCTAGCCTGCTCAAAATCAGCAAAGAACAGGGATTTGGTAACTGTCTGCATGTGAAGGTGTGGTGGCCTTTCAAAAAATTCTGGGGACCAATGATGTGAATTTGCATGAATGGTGGGACTTTACAAGAAGAATATGAAGAGTTCCTGGAAGTAATCCCAAGACAGTTTTGGTTGTCACTTAGAGGAGTGCTACAAATATTCTTCTTTATGTAAAATGCAAAGTTTGAGAGAAAGGATTTTAATCTCTCTCAGGAAGTTGATTTCACCTCTGTAGCAACTTCTGCTTTAAAAGAAACTTCTCACAACTAAGGAACCAATTTTTTCTTTTGCATCCAGGTTCAAGTTTGTGCTCTCTGTGATGTTTCCATACTTTGTTGGCTTTCTTGATGTATCAGAAGCTGAAATTAAAAGCTGAATTTGGAAAGTAATTATTAACATATAGTATTTTTTTTCTCTGTTAGAGAAAGAGCATGCTAGTTCCAAATAAATTTTAGTTAAAGAAAAAAGTTTTGGAACAGCATGTTTTTGGTTTTGTTTTTAAATTTATTCAAATGTCTCAAGGGTGTAATCTAGGCAGTGGAAGAGTTCAATGTTTCAAACATTTTTACAGCTAGTATATAGTAATATAGATCAACTATAGATCAAATACCATTTTGGTACTAATTTGGCTTGTTCTTTAAGATGTTGTGGGTATATTAAGACATCATATCCTTACTTAAAATATTTGTATTAATTCAGAGGAACATCTAGGTTTGTAGACTCTTGTGTTGCTTTAAAGCTACGTTTCTAACTGTTGTTGTGCAGAGTTGTCATTCTTTCATTTGTGATGACATCTTCCTTCTGTATCATATTTAGGCTATAACATTGAAGAGTTTGTCATCTGTATTTGTGACTGCAAGCTGAAATTTATTGAAGTACTGATGGATAAATTGATATGGACAGGGAAAAAAAAAGGGGATCTGTCATTCATTCAGTGAGACCTTTCTGAAAGAATGACATAGGAGACTGGGAAAACATGATCTGCTTCTTAGGTAGTTTGCTGAAAATATATACCTGCATTATTTAGGGCCAGTTCTGAGACTTTTTAAACCTGACAAAATTGTCTTGTATGCTTTTCAGCATTGCTTAAATTTGTTACCAGATGATAGGCCTGTGGGAAGACAGTGCTAGCATTTGCTTCTCTTAGATATTCTTTAATATGCACCTGCTACATCTCTTAGCCAATTTTCTGTGTCTGACATCTCAGTTTTCTTACTTGAGTATTTTGAAGTCTGCCTTAGCGTCATAACTGAAATTTATGGCATGAAAGGAAAGAAGGGGGGAAAAAATAGAAAGAGTGAAGGAAATTATTAAGACATTCTTTCTCATTTGTGGATGATTTGGATAGCAGCTTACACCTGGGGCTTTTTATGTCTGTTTAAAAATGTTGTTAGTGACTTTTCTGTCATAGGCTTTCCATGCAGACATATATCCCCTCAGAAAATTCAGTAAATATGCTTTTTGCTCTAAGATGCTTTATTTTTACAGAAATGTGGTACTTTAGCAGTTATTAAAGAATCTGTTTCTGAATCTAAAATGGCTATCAGTCTAGTGTATTTCCTGTCTTAATCCAGACATGATTATTTGTTTGTAGGATTGATATTTCTTGGTAATCTCTTTCATGCTGATCATCTCAAACTTTAATAGTTTTTATTTGGTAAGCCTCAAATCTCCTGGAGAGCAAGAAATGAAGTTCATTTCCATTTTACTGGCTGGTAAATTAAAAGACAGGAAAAATGAGCAGTAAGAAACTAGTGACAGGATTAAATGTAGGTCTTCTGGCCTGGACCTGCTTTAACTGAGGTAGAGCAGCTTAACGCATGCACTACAGCTGTACTTCCTGAAGCCTTTACTGAGTGTTTATGCTCTGTTCGTTATGTCTGTTGGTCGTGTTCACTTCATATTCGGAGGTATGAGTCAGCTTCCCAAAACATTTGAGCAGGAGATGTGATGAATGCTCGTGAATCAAAGGCAGTTATAAAAGCAGAGGCCTTGGACCAGAAGGAGTTGGAAACCCTTTGAAAGCTGAATGTTCAGCCTTCATGGGAAGGAGTGCTGTGTGATGCTAAAAAGCATCCTCTTTGAATCACTGAGTGGTGCTGATGTGCCTCTGAGGGAATGTGGCTGTTTTGCTGCAGGTATCCTGGGCGCTGATGTCACTGTGAAGGATGGGCTCTGCACAGTGTCTGGGGTGAACCAGGGCACCTCTGGGAATAGAAGTGGAAGAACATTTTGTTCTTTAGCATGTGTGCACGCATGCATGCACACCCAAGTTAAAAAAGATAGGGCTCATTTTATGAAAGAAAAATGTTAAAATTCGGATCCACCGGTCTAACTTTTGTTGCAGTTGACCATTTTGTGTTTCTTTCGTGTGTTTGTCTTTTTTCTATTAGCTATCATGTAATTCATTACGAGAATTTAATCTATCAGTATGGCTTTCATGTAGAATTGCAGCATATTTGGCAGTAGTACAAGGACATTAAATGAGCATGAATCTCCATTCATCAATTGGACTGCTTTATTCAAAATCCTGCTTATCTTATTGATAATTACATTTTAAAACTCCTATTAGCCAAAGTTTTAGTAGTACCAAACTTTGAAGTCATATGCAATGATTAATGGAGTACTGCACAGGACTGTTTGGAATGTTAACATACTTGTTGCAGTTGTCTGCCTGTATCACACCAGTGTGTGAGGAGCCACAAAGCATTTTGCATGGGCACTTTGGTGTAAACGTTAACTCTTATAATTTTTTTACAGTTTGTAAATGCCCTGTAACTTCAGAGAGAAATTGAATTAATTGCGGGAAATATAGCGCAAGTCTTTAAATTTAATAAGTTAAATTTAGTAAGTTTTATTTTGGGAATTCCTATTGCTACATCTCTTATCTCAGTGCCTATTTTTCAATTTGTCATACTGTACATCTTTCACTGTCTGTTTTTCTTATTATTCTCCTTCACTTTTTATTTCTATACTTACGCTGTTTTCTGGAGTACTGTCGTACTGTCTTTGTTATTCCGGTCTCTGGAGTTGCTGCGTGGCATTATTAAAGTATCTTAACTGCATAACAAATGACCTGACTCATGTTAGACTTTGAATTTGTGAAATTACAAAGGAAATAATCATATTTAGAAGATGAGGGATTTCCAGGAGGAGGATGGAGAAGGAAACTTGTTCTCTTCTACTGATCTGTCCAAATAAAAAACATTTACAGAAATTCTGTAAACGCCTTTCAGCAGCAGCGTAAAATGCTGAAGGATAATGCATGTTTTTAATATGCTTGAGCTTCGCTCTTTCTTTGCAGAGCAGAGAGCCCTTTTTGTACCTGTAGTGAAAAGTTTTCATTAGATGACAAAGGAAGAAAGGACTGTTCTGGACCTTGAGAGTCAGCGTGCACGTCCATTTACTGGTACTAAATAGCAGATGATCAAAGAGATGATTGTTCTTCAAATGAACTTTCAAAGAAACATAAGGGAATTTTGTAGCCATTTCTACTGAATTTTGAGGAGTGGTGATACCAGATCCTGTATTCTGTTATGAAAATCCCACTCTTTTTTCTTCTTAGCAAGGTTTAAATCCTAGGAAACAAAGTACGCAACAATTACACTGCAAATTGGAACGCTTTCATTTGTATTTATTTAACTCATTCATGGTTTTGTCACTTATGAGACATGTCTTTCAAAATACATGTGTACGTCCCAATTTCATCTTCAAAGATGACAGCTTTCTTATAAATACAACTTAGAGCTAACACGTGAATTTCCCTAGTATCAATACATTACCATGCAGCCCACATGCTTTGCAGGTGCTGTTGGCAAATTTCTGAGCACAGGGAAGAGTAAAGCTTTGTAAATCTTTCCATTTGAAAGCACGTTTCTGTGTCAAAGCCACTATTACACTACAGTAAACTTGAAAGAATAATTACAAACCCATTCTCTGTGTCTGTTTTCCCTCTCACTAGTCGATACTTTTGCCTTACAAACATATACGTGCATGTTCATGTCTACCTACGTCTTCAGGCAGAATGTAGGGATTAAGTTTTCCTTTTGCCGTACCCTTCATTTGGGTGGCTGCTAAAGAAGTTCAGTGAGTTGCTGGAGAACTCTTTTAATTCACACTATTTGCAGTAATTGTGTCGTCATGCGTTGTGTTTTGGTGTCGTGGAAAGATGGGTGAGAGGCGGAAGAAGAAATGTAGAGAAGACAGCTTATGTTTAGACAAAAATATCATGCTAATCAGCACAGATGGGATGAGAAATACAGAAAAAGTACATGATAGTTTAATAGGTTTTTGGCAAAATGTGTTGGCTGGTTGTTTTTTTTCGGTTGTTTTTTTTTTTTTCCTCCTTTTGACTGTACCTATCTGCTGCAACAGCTCTTCTGTAACAAGACCTGAATGACTGTTTTGTGTTAACATGTTTGAAGCTAACTCTAATGAGCTTAGTTTTTACCATTGTAGATGTGGGTACAAAAATCTTCCAAATACAAGGCTTAATTTTTCTTTGGTTCTTTGTGTTTGGATGGCAAGCTGTGGAACATATTTCTGCACAGTATGAAACATCTTGGCAGACTTCTCAGGCCAAGTATTGGTGGGTTTAGAGTTATCTTTGGATCTGTCAAAAGTGCTAATGGGCTTTGTTGAGCTTCTTTAAGTTTCGAAATCATATTTGCTTTTTGCTTTTCTGTGCTTTTTTATTTAAGGATGATTAAGATTGCACTTGAATTCATGACTAATCCAATTCTGCTCTCACATGTGCTTTTTGTACAAGTCTGCCTTTAGTGTGTAGCAACCCTTTCGTACCCAGAAGAAGCGATTTGGGAACAAATTACCTCGGTCAGCATTTTTGCATGTATTAACATTTCCACTGCTGCGGCTTTTTTAATTTCTCTGATTTAAGAAAATACCTTTTGTAAACCAAAGACTTTTTTTTTTTTTTTTTAGCTGGCCTCACACTATGCAGCCAAAGCTTTTATGCTGGGACAACAGCATACATTTTGATGATCTTATCTACCTGATAGCTTTCTAATCTTGTTGGTAAAAAATCTTAGGTTTGCGTTTGTAAGTTTTAATTCTACTGCTTATTACAATAATCTGAATTCCTTAGTAAATAATACATTGTTCTTGCCACTGCAGCACGTGCCCCGAGCTGTTACACTGGTAATGAATGATGTATGGGTGTTGTTCCTGGCCGATGGGATGTTGTGTGGATGAAACTTGCTTTGTTCTGCTTTTTTTTCTTGTGTTTTATTTTTTGAACCACTGTTGCTCAGGTGGTGTATGTGCACATTTTCAGTAGCATTACCTGCTTGTGTCTTGGTTCTTCCTATCTGTGCTTTAGAGGCAGTTTGCAAATGAAATATATGTTTTTTTAATTTTTGTGCTGCAGTTATTTTTCTACTGTATTCTACATCGATCTGTCAGGTAAATTTGTTTTTTCAACTATGGAGAGTACAGAGAGATCAGATGACCTGTATAACTGCTCTTACCTTGTGCTAAATGCCCGTGTGAATTTCCAATGATAAGAATTACTTTGATATGTAGACTGGAGCTACCCTTTCTTTTCTTTAAAAAACTTGAATTTGTCTCAGTAAAAGTGTTGTATTAGAACATGAGTTTTGTGCCTCATCAGGCAGCATTGACATTTTTTGTAGAAGTGACAGAACAGGTTTTATTTCTCCAGGAATTATCTTGTATTTTAGAACTGTGTATGAAGCATCCTCAATTTCATTAATCTGTGACCTATCTCCCCAAAAGTCAGGGGAAAGACATTGCTAATTAAAAGCTGGTCTGACACAGGGTGACCTGCTGTGTGTAGCCATGTACTCTATGTAGCATAACAAGAGGATGGAGTCTGTTGTGGGTTTTTTTGTTGTTGTTTTTAAATGGAAGACTTTGTTTTGTAATATCATGAATCAAAATTATTTTATCTCTTTTCGTAGAGAAATCTGACAGAGTATTTTGTAGCAGTTGATGTCAACAACATGCTGCATCTCTATGCCAGTATGCTGTATGAACGCCGCATCCTCATTTGTTGTAGTAAGCTCAGCACTGTAAGTAAACTGCAGAATAATTTCTTTTATTCACACTACTGTGTTTTTTTAATGACAGTCATACATAGGCAATAAGCTGAAATATCTAGAATGTGAAGAACAATGTTTGGAAGTCCCTCCTGAAAACATAATTTTGAAAGTTGTACAAGGGAATATCCAGAAACTTGTGAAAAGTTCTCTTCTTGTTGAAGGACGTAGTAAGCAGAGATGAAGCCCTGCTTTTATGTTTAACTACCATCATTAATTTCTGTGTAATTATGTTGACTGGCATGGAGTTTTTCTGGAGTTCTAGAAAAATAAGTGTACATTGATGTGCCACTAACCATTCAGGTTACTTAAGTTTATTTTCTGAAGAAATATCTGTATATATTTTTTAGTTCACAAAAGCATTAAGTACATGAATGTACTTGGCCTGCAAAAAGGGGCCGGAGATGCAATGGAGTCTCTGTCCTTTTATATCCTGGAGATATTTTAAACTGAACAGTGCCCTGAGCAAACAGCTGCAGTTGATGATATTTTGAACGTTTGAGGTCAGATTTGATGACCTCCAGGGCCCCTTCCAGCCTTAGCCATGCAACCTAAACTCAGTTCTGTGCTTCTAAGTGATGGCTTTGCCCAACTTCTTTTCCTCTCTAACATTCAAATTAAAAAGTCTTTTGATACACTCTTTGTTGGGCTTCTTGGTGTGTAAGCATACTAATGTTCAAGCCATAGTGAAGTCTGCTTTTCATAATTTATTTGGCAGAAAAAGAGACTGATAAATGATACTGTCATATACCTTCTCTGGATGGACTCAAAAATTGGACTAAAATAAAACAATCCACTTTTTTTTTTTTTTTTTTCAATTTTGTTTTAAAAGGTTTAGTCTCAATGCTGTTTAGGCTCCATCGAGGATCTAGAGATAAAAGGTACCGAACACTCTGGAGTGCTCTCTTCTAAGAATGACTGCACATCAAAACCAAACATGAGCTTGATTTAGTTCAAAGTTTTGTGTGAGGCATTTGAAGGTTTATCAGTCAATCACATTGTGATTTTTCTTTCTAAAAGAAAATGTTAAGTTTTCATTTGTTTGCTCTGTAGATGGATATTGATTGTTTTCTTTATGAATGGTATGCAGAAGAGGGTTTTAATAAATGCTGCTTTCTTGTTCTATGGCCTAAGTACTCAAACGATCCTTTCTAAAACACAGTCCTCCATGTCTGTTACTGTTTGACCATGGCCTACTTTGTGATTGAGGTTAAAACTGCTTCATGGAATTGTAAATACTGTGTGAAAGGCTGAAGTTATAGGATGTAAGATACGAGGCAGAAAAGGGAAAGAGTAGATTACAATAGTTATTCTCATGTTCTTTGGTAAGGTAAGTAAATCTAGGAGAGTTAGAGTAATCTCTGGAAACTATTAATAATTATTAAATGTTTACAGTCAATCCCACACTGATTGGAACTGGTGGAATTGGAGTGTTATGTGGCTCAGTATCATAGTGAACTTGTAAAATCTTAATTTTATATCTGCCAAGCGTTCTAGGACTTCTCTACTAAAGTAAACTAAGTAAAATTTAAACAGGTGATTTTTTATGAAACTAAGGAATGAAGAGAGTAGGGAATTAACAGAGAAGAGGAAAGAATGGCTATCCAAAGCATCTCAAAATGTGTGTGTGGTTGGTTTAATCTCTCTCTCTTTGTGACAGAGCCTGGGAAGAAGAATTACTTACCTGTCACTTTGCCTTCCTTAATGAGCCATTTCACAAGTAGGGTTGTGTTTTCTTTCCTATCTTCTGCTTTTCCTCTTCCTTTTGCCTCTGTCCAAGATAAAAGCATGTCTCGTTCTTTGGTAGGGAGGGGTATTCATACTGCGGATTCTTATCTTACAACTTTATATATAACTGCTCCAAGATTGGAGTGACAGTGTAAGACAGGTTTGAAGTGTTGGGCCGGAGCCAGTGATTCCTTGCCTGCACGCTCTGCTCTGCATGTTCCAGCAGTAGGAACAAGCTGCATTATTTTATTTCAAACTGTGCTCAGCGGAAGCCAAGACCTTGTAACTGGAAACGTACCAAACAGAATTCTCAAAGTAGAGGGAGGGTGGTGTGGTGGTGGAGAGGGGATTGGTTTCTTGGTTTGGCTTTTTTTTCTTTTTCTTTTTTTTTTTTTTTTTTTTTTTTTGTGTGTGTTCGTTTGTTTCCTTTTTATAACAAAAAAGTAGAGGGATCCTGTGTGCACTTAATTCTTTCCATTGCACACTTCAGTGCACACTGCAGCACACTTCATTCTTAAAGCTTAAATATAATATCAAGTAAAAGAGTGAAAAATAAGCAGTCTTGAGTAGAAAAGTCTTTTATGATAGGATGAATTCATGCTATAGTAAATCACGTGAAATTTGAAATATCCTTAATACTAATTAGAGGTAAGTGGGTCTGTATTTATTGACTAGTTTATAAACTGTATGTACCAAAGCCCTGGAAGATTCATTTTTGTTCTCTTCAATTATTTTTCTTTTGTTTTCTACAAAAGGAAATTCAAGTAATTTTTCAAAACATCAATTACTTTTTCTTAAAAACAACAGCCACAAAAACCACTCTGTGATCTAACTGCTCATACAGAGCCAAATGTGAATCAGAACACATGAAAACTGTTGGACAGAAGAGCACCTACTGGCGGGAGCACGCAGTTACAAACTGTGACCAGCTTTCCTTAAGCCCAGTGCTCTGTCTCCCATCCTACCTTCCCTTGCAGCCCCGGCTCAGGAAGGAGCGTTGGCAGTGTGTGATGACAGCAGGTTGTCTTTCATCATAAAGAGATGGCTTACATGAAACTAGATGAGTCTTAAAAAACTTGAATTTGTGAAATATGATCATATTTCTGTTTGGCTCCATCTTATTGGAGTGAATTTCATTACTTATAAAGCAATATTAAAATGGTGTATTATTACAAAGCAAAAAAATACCGCTCTGGTCTTTTGTTCTTGAAGGCTTAGAGGTTGCCATTTCACTTCTCCTGTGTCACAGAATGTTCTAATGCACAGCTTCTTCTTCCCTGATAGGTTTCTGAGGTGTCTCAGGGCTCAAAGGTTAAGGAAAACACAACGTGTTCAATAGCATTCACTAAATGGCCTTGTGATACAACGTAGCTGAGCTCTCACTGTTCTTGTTCTACAGCAGTCTTAGAACTGCTCCTCTTCACGGGTGAATTCTTCCTTCCCAAGAGCTCTGTTGCAGCCCTTGCAGCCTGCTGCCGGCACAGGTTTTCCATACACAGTCTTTACAGCACCCCTGTTTTCACTGCTTCATTCTTGTACAACTCAGTCTTCATGTTTCTGCTGTGCTTTTAGCCCGAGTGATGCAGAAAGATGATCTTACACTCACATGTTGGTAATTATTTACATATTATGTTTGTAGTGGTGTACTGCATGTGTAACACTGGGCACAGTATGTCCATAGTAGGAGGAGAGTAAAACATACTGGAAGATGGCCTATTATAATTCAACAACAGTTCATAATTTTTATATGTATGAAAAAACTCCATTGATTAATTTGCTTTTAAAACCTTAGTGGTAAAAATGCAGAATGCGATTCACTAACTCAGTGTCTTTTGTACATAGCTATTTTTTTACATTCTCCAGCAACAGCTGCAGGAAGCTGAGGTAGTGGAACTAATCTTATTTTAAAATGCTGGATTCCTATAGTTTTGGCAGTTGGGCATTTCTCAGGCTGCCTTATTATTAAGCTCCTGTTTTCTGTATGGCAATCACTAATCAGGTGAGGTCTCCAGCAAATATGCTATTTTTTTTTTATGAGTCCTTATCTTGGCAGAGTTGAAGGACAGTAGCAGTGCTTACATGAGGTAGTGTGTTATTTGAATTCATGCCAGATAGCAAGGTGGGAGTACATCTCAAAAATAAGTGACAGGTTCTGCTCAGATGTCTGCAGTGTTGAGCATTATGTCTGTTTAATCTTTTCTTGCTGAGTTTTAAAACCAATGGAAGGGGGATTTGGAAGGGGCCTTCTTGGATTACTGAGTTCAGTCCTCTACAGCATCAACCATGCTATGCAGTAATGCCAGGAAATAATCCATTTAAACCTGATAGAATCACTTCTTATGTAAAAAATTAAATTTTTAAACAGTTTTGGTTTTAGACATCTTTTTGATTTGGAGAAGAGAAACTGAAAGGATGTGGAATTGCGTCACATAATTTTCTGCAAAGCACTACAGGGGTTCTCCCCAGCACTTTTGTTTGCTGTTTTTGAGCTTTTTAATTCAGTACCTGCCAATGTCAAAACCATTCTGAATGAGTTTTTAAAAATCACTGGATCAAATGATTGGTGGAGGGTAATAAGATGAACATACTTCTTAAGTAGTAAAAATATGGTCATTGAGTTTGATGTGGTATATTCTTATGAAAACGATGCTACTGATATTGTACCTCCCTGAGCTTAAATATTTTTCAGCTTGTTTTATAATTTCAGTGCATTTTTATTGTATTAATGGATAGTAATTGCCAGGATTAGGGTTTTATTTACCCTTACCATCTTTTTCTTTCTTTTGAGTTTCTATTTCAGTATTTCTTTTGCTTTATGAAACACTGGGTGTTCTTTTCAGGTTTTGTTTGTTGAATGAACTGTGTTTTCAGTTATTTAACAAAGACAGTCGATGTTAGCCACCAAAAACTAGTTGTGCTTTATCCACTGGTACCCTTTTTTTAATGGGAACACTGAATATTGTCTAATAAAGCATGTTATAAAACCAAATTTGATTCTTTTTTTCTTGCATCATTAGTTTTTTAAGGTTTTTTTGTTTGTTTGTTTGTTTTCTGTCTTATTAATGTTCTTCCATTAATCTGTGTGTTTCAGTTAACTGCTTGCATTCATGGATCTGCAGCTATGCTCTACCCAATGTTCTGGCAACACGTTTACATTCCTGTTCTGCCCCCACATCTCTTGGACTACTGTTGGTAAGGCTGTTTGTATGTGATACATGTATGTGTGTGTCTGTGTATGTGTGTGGGTATACATGTAAAATCTAGATTCACAACAGCATTCACATTTCTGTATTGCAAGTCTGGAGTCCTTTTATATGATGATACTGTTAGTCTGAAAATACATATGTGTATTAAGGAAGTGGTGAGCCTACTAAGTAAAAAGAAATATTGATGTCATCAGGTAATTGCGTATTAGTATGTTGAAATACACTGATGTGTCTGGTTACTGTGAAATGCTGCAACTTAAATATTTTGTATTTGTAATTTGTTTTCAGCATATTTATGTCAAGTCATAAAATTTGAGTTAAGACTCTGGAAGATGCAGTGGAGAACATACTTTAGTTTTTCTACTTTCCTGAATTTTTGGGGGGATGCGGAGAAAGCTATTCATTTCCCTACAGTCATCTTTTCGTATTCTCATTGTGTACACAACGTGTATACCTTAGTTAGGGAAATGACTGTAATTCATTTGAAAAATTATTCTTGGTCATGATGTTTCAGATTTTGGCACATCCCAAGAGCAATACCAAGCATTGTCAAAGCTGGCTTTCTTTTGTCCATGAGCTTGGGGCAGCTGCCCTCCTGAGATCCCTTCCAACAAAAATTGTTCTGTGATTCCACGCTGTCTGTATGGCTTAAGAAACCTTTGCAGCTGACATCTCCAGATAAGAGTGTCATTAAATATCTCTTGGAATTGGTGGTCAGTTGTTCAGAAGCCTATCTACAGCACCTCTCAAGCAGTCTCTTGGTTTTTAATTTCTTTTCTGGCACAGAGTCAAACAGTTTAGTCTAATCAGCCATAACGTAATATCTCCCATTTGCTGCATATGGGACCGGAGGAAGAGGATTCTGAGTAATTAGCAAAGGAGTTGAAGATCCTGCAGCATTTAGTTGCTCGGCTTAGTCACTCAGTTTGTGTGACTTGCTGGTTTTGTTCCCACTGTGTATGCAGCAGCAAATGAAGTTTGACCAGGAAGAGTGGCTGCCCGCTTACCTCAGGTGGTCCAGGGACTTAAAATTTCAAGCCCTGCTAGAGAGTTAAAGGAATAGTTGCCTGGACATGCAGGAATAGAATTAGGAAGTCCAAAGTTTGGCTTGAGTTGAAGGGAGGAATGTACAGAGTACATAGAGGCTTCTACAGTTCTAGAACCAAAAGGAAAACACTAAGGAAAATGTGGACCTGCTGCTCTATGGTCACACCGTTGGGTGATGGAGAACATAGAAAAGGCAGAGAAAGCAGGCCATTTGCTCCTGGAAGTTGTAAGGCCGTGCTTCACTGTGTGTGAAACGAATTGGCAGTGAGGGATGTCCTCAGAGAACTGTTACACATCTTTAGAAGAAGCAAGAAGGAAGATCCAGGGAAGGAATTACGGGCCAGTCAGCTCTGCTTCTATTCCTGAAATAAGTAAGGAAGAAGTCTTCATGAAAGCACCACCTCTGCCCTCTCTCACTGCAAGCCCTGGCAGTTTAAAAAGTCCTCTGAAAAAAAATGAGCTGAAAGTGACTGTGTCATACTATTTCACATTTGGCTCTTAGCGTGGTGATTTGGGGGAGGGTGTTCTGTTGTTTTTTTTGTGAGTGATCCTGTTCTGTGTGAGGTTTTCTCTGCATTTAAGCAAGAGGAAGGAGCTAGCAGGGATAACTAGCATTTTTAAGTGCCAGAAGCTGAAACATGTAGATTTAAAGGAAGCTTGTTCCTCTGTAGAATATTTAAATGTTAAGTGTGTGCCTATTGTGAGGATACACAGAATGGAATCTAAAAACTATTATGTCCTGTAGAAATGAACCTTCAATTTACTCACTGCACAGGAAGGGCAGGTTCTAGTCATTTGCACTGCCAGCAGGTGCCCTTTCTCTGCATAATGGGCTTTGCATGTGTAATTAACACATGAAGGCTGCTGCTGCCAGTTTTTTCTTCAGGTACATGCTGCTAGGAGTTTTCAGGATGAGGATGTGGACCACAAGAGGCTTTTTGCTGGGTTTGAAGATGAGATATTCATTGACTTTCTGACAAAGCCATGTTAAAAAGGGGCTGAGTCCAGATCCCACAGCTTTGTACAGAGGTGTGCAAAAGCAAACACTTGGGCAGTGTACCCAGAGAGAAAGACATGAGACACTGAGCTGTACTTGAATGAATTCTTTCATGGTGTAAAACCTTGCCTTATAACAAATAAGCCAGCCAGAGTGTGAAAAGTATGATTTTAAAACCTATTATTATTAGGTTGTAATTGCATGCTCACAAATACAACAGATTGCCTTAGCCTGATATGAACTTCATTTGGAGAGGTAGTCACACGTACAAATTGTTTGAGTAATTACGTTTAGTAACAATTTGTGTGCCATAATAATATTTCTTAAAATAGAGTCAGTTTATTTTGTAACTATGTGAAATTAGAAAGGTAATTTTTGCCTATCTGTTCTGAGAAATCAGCTTCACTCCTTCTGGCTTAAGGCAATCAGATGCTTATAAGAATCTGTCTCTACAGGGAAATGACCTGAAACTATTTAAAACACAAGAGCTTATTTTAATTTAATTTTAATTACTGTCTTGTTATTTTTTTCACAAGTGTGATGTAAGAATTTTAATGAGCTAAAAGGGAAACTAAGAAAATTTGAAGTGATGTGAGTTTTTCCATTCTTATAAATGCAGAAAATGACATTCCTTCAGTTCACTGTGTTTGCTGTCCTTTGGCGCATGCTGACTGTGCTGTTGGTGCTTCTGAAACTTCTGAACATTGTGCAAATTGCTGAAGGGTATCAGATTGCTGTATTGCTTGTTATCTTTGAAAGTCTTGAAAAAAGTATATTCCATATGTGATTATTTGCTTTTAATTATTTGAGCTCCAGTGGAGCCTTTTTGCGGAAAGGAAACTTTTAATGTCCTGACTGATACACTCCATCTCAGTTCCATGTTTGTGGAATTTGAAATCTGCTGTATTTCCGTGGGGCAGCACACGTGATGACTACTAAATCTTTCCAGAACTACAAAAAAGTAAAGCAGCTCTGCTTCCAGTGGCTGGAAAGGTAGAATACTTTAATTCTCCTCTTGGCATTTGAAGATTCTTTTATGCGAGAAACTTCAGAGTGGGGAGAGTTCCCTTGAGCTGTTGTGAGAAAGATGATGAATTGGATAATTGGATAATTGGGTATTGTTACATGTTAATGATAACTCTGCTGCAAGCATGCTTATAGTGAATGTCTCACTGACATGGTTAAAGCTCTTTTTTTTTCCTGAAGTATTATGTCCTTTACCTTTGTTTATGCATCACATATTTTCAAACCACTGTGATTTCTGATTTTTGCAGCTTGACCTTTGCTAATTTTTTTTAGATTCTGATGGAGAAAGAGATCAATTTTCTTCTCACTTCCCTCTCAAAAGGATTAAAAAAAAAAAAAAATTATGTTCAGTTGCTCTCCTTATTCATGTACCTAACAGAACTGAAAGGACAAAACCCTATCTTCAAAATGTTTGTTCTCACCACGCTTGCTCTTTGTGCTAGGAATGCAGAGCCAGTAACAGTGGCTCATGTTTGTGTTAAAGTGATTTCAGTCATCTGATTCCTAGTGTATTGAGGGGCAGCTCTTTTTCTTTCTTTCTTTATTTTTTTTTCTAATTAGGAACCTCTCATCAATGTATTTTCTGTGCAGGGAAAGATTTTGGGTGGAGGAGACAGAAAATTGGTGGAAATTCTGTCATTAAAGTTCACACCTTAATGCACAATTGCATCCTCCTTGAATAGAGAACAGGGGAGGCACATGAACTGTTGCTGTAGGAGGTGGGACTGCATGCCAGCAGGTGCCAAATGCACTGGTTAATGGGCTCCTGCTACCAAGCATCAGTAACCAAGCACGTGCAGATACTTAAATTTGGCCAGATCACATCCATCTATTTTGTTGCTGAGAGTTCAAATATTCCTTGATGTGAAACAGTCTATTAATTTTCCTCACTGCTTGTTTCAGTTTGGTTTTCACGTGGCATAAAAACATTCCCACTGTGTCTGTTTTCTTTCTTTTTGCTCTCATTGTCTGTGTTAAAAATTAGCCTATAAGAAAAGACTTTACTAGGCTGCTGTGACACAGCCTAGCATGTTCTCTCAGTCCAGAGCTTTACCACTGGTCATTAAGTGTGCTTCGACCAGAAGCAGCAGAAAATTTTCTAAGGCGATTTAAAGCACCTTTTATATTAGATAGATCTCTTAGCAGCCGACATAGTTCATTGAGAAAGCCCTCTGCAGAGCTCCCTGACACAGGGGCTGCACGAATGTTCCTACTGGTGCGGTTTTCCCTTTCCTCTGGAGTTTTTATTGGTTCATAAAATTTTTTTTAAGCTCTCTTTCTCTCATTTTCTAAATCTGCACATTGCTCAGTGTGTGCCTTTACAAAGGTGGAGGGGGTGACTGAGGGGCACGTCCTCCTGCTGCTTGGGAAACAAAGGTTCCTTCCTCGTGAGCCTCTGAGTAGCTTTGGGTGTAACCTGCTTCATCTGTGTTCTCACTGGAAGCTGTTGTAGTTGCTCTTCTGGTTTCTTAGCTGTGCCGCTTCTACATCACTCCAATTTATGCAGTCAGGTTTCTAATTTGCATCAATTACCCTGATAAATTTGGGATTGAATTCTTTTACATCTCAGTAAGTAAACTGAAGAGAAATCAGGAGACTGCTTAATGCATAAAATGCAGGTGGTGTATGAGCAACACATTAAGTCAGAGTTTGTGTATCAGGACTTGAACTTACTAAATGTGGTCTAATCAATTTTCCTGGAACTATGGAGCAAATTGGTGCAAATCCCTGTGTAGCTGTAAACTGTGAACTTTCTTTGAGATCTGTAGGTTTTACATTACATTTTGTGGTGAATTGCAGGTTTGTTTGTTTGTTTCTTTTAAGATGAACTTTTTTTGTTGGTTTTATTTGTTGCTGTTGTTTTTCACTTAAGAGGAGGCGTCCCTCTATTTCACCTGATTCTCTTCCAATTAGTTGTTGCCCACCTCTTGGGAGCATAATTAAGAGGTTTCTAGTTAGCCTAAGGAAACGAATTAGAGAAATTGTAAAATGCAACTGTAATAAATGGGCAATATCTCGCCATTAAGTCCATAGTATCCATATTCATGCTTATGCATTGCTTCTTTAATGATTTGGTATTTACCTATATAACTCATTTGGTTGTAAATAACCCTGCATTGGGAACTGCTGTGGCAGGAGAGGAGTAATAGCCTCAGTCTTTGTTCCAAAAGGCTCAGGCAGGCTTTTTGTTTAAGCAGTGAATTTGCACAGCAGAAATTGATACTTCTTATTTTGCCCTTAATGGCTATTGCCTGCCATCAGACAACTTCGAGTGACTGTGAGTTGTGGCTGTAGGAAGTCTTGTGGACTTGTAGGAAGTCTCAGGACTTGTGGAGCAGTGTGTAAAACTGGTCTGTAGGTCAGTCTTTAGTCTGTCGTGGGTCTCAGAAGGATTAGATTGCACAAAGCGTTTCTCCTGTTTATAAAAGCAATGGATGTTACCGAAGCTGACTGGGAAGTCTTGGAAATGCGCATGGAACCTGGTAAAAATGGCTTGAGACCTGAATGGCAGTGAGGAAGGACTACTTAGTGTGGTCTGGATGGTGAGGAGGGGTGCACAGTCCTCTCTGGTACAGCATGGTAGCTGAGTAAGTAATGGCATGCGATGAAGCCTGATGTGAATCTTCAACATTTGCTTCAGGTGTATTTCTTTTTCAGTGATGACAGAAGAGTGTAATCTCTTTGGTAGACTTGATAGGAAATAATTATGTGCTTTTTACCAGAATTACATTTTATTGTGGTTATTTATGTTTGCTTAGTTGATCTTTTGCAAGTATAAGGAGTGAAATTATGTGAATTATCCTTAACATGTTTTTGCTGTTGCTCTGTGATTTATGTATCATGGAACAATATTTTTTTTTCCTTCAAAGATAAAGTTACTCAATATCATCTTCTGAGCTCTACCTCATTCCCTAGCTGAAATCTCTGCAACTATTCACCAAGGTACCACAAATGTTGCAAAATTAGTGCATTTTTAAACAAATTTCTGCTTTGAAGTTTCCTTTTTCTTATTGATCAGCAGAACCTTTCTTATGAAGAGTGAGCTAAACCGCTTTTTGTAGTGTTACAGTATCAACTTGTCCTGCTGCTTTTTGGGCTAGTCCAAGTGCAGCACATGAGGCACCTGACTGGGTCCTTTACAGCACAGCAATGCAAGGTCACGGGGAAAAAAACAACTTCCAAAACCGGACAAAAGTCAGAGTATTGTGGCCTTCGTACCATCCCTGTAATAGCTTTACATGCTGTATTGCCTTTACTTTGATGACTTTCACTAGAAAATTGAAAAGGCAATTCATTGCATCCAAAGGTGACCTTTGTATCTTAAAGCATATCTTTCTATCAGTTCCTAAAGTTTTACTGGGAGTGCAAGATTTTAAGGGTTTAGGCATTTGCATTCTTTTGTGGATGAGCTGGGCAGTTGAAGGATGGACATGATACAGTTAATCAGCTTTTACAGATTCAGATTTTCTTATGCTTGGTGACAGGCTCTGCTTTTGGATGCGTTAATAAAGTGGCTGGTTTTCTGGAATACTGCACTCTTCCTGCTTCCTTTCATTACGTTAGCCAAGGTTCTACTAGATGAGACGTTTGCAGTCTTACGACTTCCTGCCGAGGTTCAGACTTTGTATTTTTGAGATTGAAGCTGTCGTGGTTCTGAAACTACTTAATTAGAAACACATTCATTTCAGTGCGTACTGGAGGAGCCTTGAACAGCATAGCAAGGCACACGGGGAAGTTGAGCATTTGTGCAGCTGGCAGCTAAACCAATGGTTTATACTTTGAATGTGAAATTACTGGGTATTTTCTTGCTCCTGGAATGTGGCCATTGGAAATGAAGAGATGTGGGTGAAAGAGAGAGTGTTTGTCACAAATAAAACATGCAAAATGACAAATAAATACTCCTCAGATGAGCAGCAATCCATATGCACTAAGTGTGTATCATGTTGAATGGTAAAAAATTGTAACACATATCCAAGAACTTGGATATATGTTTTGGTTCTCATCTGTGGAATCCCCAAGGAAGCAGAGGCTTTGGGACTTGTACCAAGTTAGTTCCTGAGTTAACAGCGCCTGTGGGCTGTGACAGGGAGCTGTGTTGGGTGAAGCTTGGGTAAGGGTGTTCTTGGCAGGCCGTGCAGCTCGGTGAGCCTCTTCAGGACCTGTTGGATTCTTTGAAGTTATTTATGCTTTATGTGTTTGCCTTCAAACAAGAATAAAAGAACAAAACAATGTTTCCACGCAGAGCATGTAGTATAGAGGCTGTTTACATCTCTTGGTGCAGTATCCAACAGAGTAGCAGTTTTCAAGGTACAGTGGTAAACATGATAATTATTAATATGCCTACCAGAAATTGTTACTTAAAAAAAAAAAATTCCTCACAAAAATGAGAAGCAGAGTGATTTTTGCTGGTGTGCAGCAGTAGTTCTTCCAGAACTGTTCTTCCCTTACGGAACAGTGGGCAGCCATCTATAAAAGCAATATGGAAGATATTTTAAAACAAGGCAGAACAGTGACATTTCTCTTCTTTCTCATCTGAAATTGAAAATGAGCTCTTTAAGCTTCTGTATCCAAAATCAAATGAGGCTCTATTTTAAAAGTTGTGTCTGTCTGTGCTTTCAGTTTAACAGGCAGTGTATGCCATATTTGCAACTAGCAGTTTTGGCATCCTCTTCGGTATGTTCTAATAAGCAATGCAAATATGAGCTTTTCTTGATTAGCTGAGTGGGAGTCCTGTAGTAAAGCTTAATATTAGAAATACTGTATATACAAAGATTCTGCTTTCATTCAGTATTCTTCCTTGTGACATAGTAGCCCATATTGCTGTTTGCTAACATGGCTGAACAGAAGACTGAAAAGATCAGTCTTTCTTAACTTTCTGTTTGATAACAGAAGTGTCAAACCTATGTTTGAAACTATAAATTTGGCCAACGAACCTCTCGATATAGTTTGTTATTGTATTCTGAAATAATGATCCAGCATATGTCATAGTAATTACAGAGCTGATCAGAATCTTCCAAAGTAGTTTTACATCCTTGTTTTATAAATGTAAATATTTCAAGATTTATACTTAGTTGAATTATTTAAAATGTGTCTGAACCCATAATCAAAGGGTTTAAAATTTACACGACTGCGTGATGTGCATTCACTGAGCTAACCATGTAATGCTACAACTAAATCAGTCTGCTGAAAGAGTATAGAATTATTTGAAAATTGTACTTTAAGAGATCACCTTATTTTGTGTGTGTGTGTGTGTGTGTGTTTAATAGCTGCCCTTATGTACTTGTCTTAACAAAGACACTTAGCAATTCTGATGTCCAAAGAAATCAAATCTTATGATAATAAGGGAATATTGCATAGTAAAAGAAATCTTTCAAATATGGAATAAAATTTTGTTAACATGTGGTTTATATATATATATATATATCCCAAGTCTAATCCAGAATCCCCGGTCTTTTCCTGTAGCTAATTTTATAAGTCATATGTGTTAATCCAGTGCTATGAGAATGTAAAGCAAGTTTTTTCCTCCTCTTTGCAGTGCCCCAATGCCCTACCTCATTGGAATACATTTAAGTTTGATGGAGGTAAGTCTTTCTAACCATTTCTGAAAATACATGTGGTTTTATGACTTAGGCCCACGTTCTCTAAGTAGTTTTACGTACAGTCATTATGAATTAAAAATGAAATAATCCCATTAATTTATTTAAGAGCACACAGAGAATTGCAGTTATGTGTAGGTAATCATGCTAACACACAAGGAAGTCTTCCTCTGTACCTCAAACCCTCTGGTGTCCTTCCTTGGCAGTTCAGCAGTCAGCGATGAGCTCATGGTGTGTTCCCCTCTCCATTCTGTTGCTTCATTTAGTCAGCTTTCCACCTCTAGTTTTACTCTGTACTACAAAGGCAGAGTTAATATTAAACCAAAATGTTGACAGTTACAGTTCTCTTTTAGGCATTCCAGCCGGATTGTTGTTTTTTTTGTTTTTTTTTTTTTAATGTTGAAAAGACCTGAAAAGAAGGAACTTGCTGTTAACGTTAACACGAAACTGGCAGAAAAGCAGGCCTCACAGAAAGCGTCACATATAAACAATCCATAATAATTTGTCTGACTTTAAACCAAACGAACAACAACGACTAAAACAACCCACACCCTCTTAAAAGTGGAAATAACGCATTTCCTCTTGCTTCCCATACTGGAGAAACACTTGATGACTTTCCTTAAGAGTATCTGGAGCACATAATCTATTAATTTAGATGCCTATGAAAATGCTTGCTCTTATTAATTGTGCCCCTTTACACAGGAAGCCTGAGTGCTGTGTATGTGCTTGATGAGGCATTCCTTCTCAGAAAGCACTGCCTCTCCACAGGAACTGAAATCAGTACTCAGTGCTGAACTGGAAGGCTTTGCATCTGCCCTTGGAAGTTAGTTGGCTTGTGCCCCTGCTTGAGTTACATGTGTTTAGAAATTTAAGCTTATTTGTTTAGGGTATGCAACAACTTATGATTCTGATTTTTCCATCGTATAAATTAATGCATATTACTAGAATATTTGTTTTTATATTGTCCATAAAATTTGTTACTTCTCTGGAAGTAGGTACTGATCAAACATTTTCTTTCATGGGAGCATATCTGTGAAACAATGATCCTCTCTGTCTTCATTGTAAATCTTCAGTATTATACTGTGTAGCTTTCCTTTTTCTTTCTCCAGTACTAATGTGAAATCAATTCTTAGAAGTCACCTTTTCATAAGCTAGATGGAACATTCAGGACTTCCCCCTGCTTCTGCTTGTACACAGATAATTTTTGATGCTCTTTATATTTCTAAATAAAGTACAGAATTTTAGTATGATGTGTTGGTGAATAAGCTGTTGATCCAAAAGTCAACATGCACATTTGTTTGCGCTTAGTATGTTTTTGTTACAGGGATTTCTGATAATTGCATTTGAATACTATGTAGGCAGGACCAATGTAATATCTAGGGAGTAGCCTACCATACAGTTTTCATATGGAGTAAGAGCTTTTCTGCTCGCTGTCTGTGTCAGGTAACCATCGCCTTGCTTATTAGGGTCCCTCTAGTAAGAGGCCTGTTAGAGGGTGGGGTAACATCTTGATGTGGGCACTTGTCAGCTTTCACATATCATCATCTTTCACAAAGAGCTTCGTGGTCAGCCTGGCGAAGGGTGTAGGAACAAAAAGCTGATAACTACTTGTTAGAGTTGCTTTGTCTCGCTCCTGCCTTGCAGCTTCAGATATTGTAGCTCTTCCTTCTCTCAGCTTTTCACATTGCAGGGCTCTGTAGGCCTTCCAAACTCCATCTGTAAAAACTCAAAAAAAACCGAGCTGCTCTTGGAGCAGCCAATTTTCATCCATTTCTATAGCTTGCGAAAAATCTGTTTAGTACTAAATCCAGTATGGCTTCTGAATAGCTGGAGATTCTGGAACACACACGCATTGGCAAAGTGCAGTTTTTCAAAGTGCCTTATGAAGTAAATGAAATAAATAAAACTGCCTTCTCTCCTGCTCTTACGGGTAAATTGAATTCTTTCCAATACAGCTAGATGTGTTTATTGAAAAATAAAATAAAATCACACAGTGAGCTATTGTATATGTTATTTGTTGACAAGTGCTGTATAATTTGTCTGTGCCTTGGGAGAAGGAAAGGTGACATCTGTCAAACAAACTAGACAATAACTAGTTTACCTCATAGCCTGGTTTGGGTGTTGAAAGCTTATTTGCTTTCTCCTTTTCCTCGTATGTAGGCTTATTTGCTAGAATAACTGTTCAGTAGCAACAGCAATTTATTCTCGTGTTCCAACAGTTGAGTATTTTAAAAAATATTTTGCATTAATTTCTCCATCTGAAAAATATTTTTATAAACAGCAAAGAAAATATTGTCATTATCCATTTTATTGTCATTATCCATTTTATTGTCATTATCCATTTTTCACTAACTGCTGAAGTTTCAGCGCTTAGTCCTTTTCAAAGTGTTGATTCACACACTCTAGATTCAGAATAAGGGATTAATTCCTCTTTTCCCATTCCATTTAAGATGGGTGGACTGTTGTCTTCTGTAGAGCCCCATGGGGGTTGAGTGTATGCAGGCTCACAGTTTGCTCCAGCAGCTCTGCAGGATTTGTCGTTGTTGCATAGATGTTAGTGGAGCCTAAACCTGAGCACAGAAAACTGGTGTAAAGGGAAGAGAGAGTTTGGAGTGTAGGAAGAAGAATAATTTTCCAGCTTTGGTGTTGCTTCTGTGGACTTTTGCTCTCCCCATTTCACAACGGGACCTCTGGCAGAAATACCATAGCAGTTATAATGCTTTAAACAAAGTACACCCTCTGTCTCACCTCAAAAGTTTTATTTCAAACCGTTGTGCATCTTGAAGTTAGTTTGCAGTCTTCTATTATATGGGGTCTCTAGAAGCTCTTTTAATGGAAAATGACAATTTTTTCTTACGATTAAAATATCAAACATATCCACTGACTGTTAAGTCTAATTTGCTGTGACTGAAATGTTCTCCAGTGAGATAAGATAATCTCCTGTTGTAGGTCAGAGGGCTCTGGCTGATATATGACTGAAAATCGTGGTAGAAAATGTAGAGCTGTGTTTTGTGCTCTTATTTTTCAGCTTTTCTATCATCACCTACTTTGTCATTCTTTATAAGATTTCCATTTAGCAATCCACAGAGTAACTTCAAAGAAGGCTAAAAGTTTATAAGCTGTTGGATAAGCAAGGCTGGAGTTATCACATGAATAATGGAACATGCTTACAGAACTAATTGAATTCATATTAGACGAAGATAAGTACTTAGCACTGATAAATAACGAGATAGGGAGCTGAAACTCCATCAAACGAACACATCCCTTTCATAATCTTACTTTATGTTGTGCCTGCATGCTGCATGCTATTTTATTGTTAATGCTACAGCGAATCAACCTTTGTGTTACACACAGCATCAAACCGTGCTGGCAGCCTCTTACCTTGTGTTGTAGCCAGTGGTTTTTCCAGCAGCTGTCTGTAGCAAAGGCCTTCAGCGTGATCTCGCTGATGGCAGAGGAGTGTCCCTGCCCTGCTACACTGCCTGCTGGAATTCGGGCACATGTGGATCTCATTAAGCACGGGGAGCAGCTCTTCTAGCTGTTTGGTTCTGAGCTGCTGACAGCAGAATCTGCTGTGCCAGGCTTCCAGCCATGGCGTTAGAGCAGTGCCTGGCCTGACCTCCCTTTGCTCACAGCACAAACAGGACGTTTGGAAGTGATGTTGAAAATTAGAGAAGTATTTATTAGTTTACTTATCCATTCAGTTTTAAGGTTCCAGTCACTTGAGAGCTTTTTCTGAGACTTTGGAATCTTAATTCTTTTAAAATTCTCCAGAGTGAATTTGTGAGTGAAATTTGGTCAAAGTGGGTTTCTAGCATCCTTTCTTGGCACCAAAAAGAGATGAGCATTTTAAAGCATACCAAATTACTTATTGAACTGTCTTTTATCCAACTGTTGGAAGAAACAAAAATGATGGTATGTTTATATAAGAGATTCTGGAGCGGATGCACTCCCGGCGGGTAAGTGTTACTGCGACTTGTGCAGCACCAGGAGGCACGGTGGTGGCTGCAGGTTTGCTGCCGCTGTCCCGCGGCGTTAGAGCAGCACCGGTGATGTCTGTCACTCAGTTGGCAGCAGCTGCCTGCGATAAGGATCTGGAGAATCACCTGTGCAGGATCAGGGTTCAGCACATCAAGGTCGGGGCAGTGGCGGAAGAGTGGAAGATGCACGGGGGGCTCGGGCCACCTGCTGTGCCCAGATCAAAGGGGCGCGGGGTCAGGGGGCACAGCCAGCGCGGCCGGGCCTGTCTGCGGAATCGCTGCTTCAGGTTGTAAATCTGAGGGTGATTTCATTAAGTCCTTCTGGCTGCTGTTGGGGCATGAAATAATAAAATTTTATATCCGCTGCCTTTCCTGCTTCTGGCAGCCAGATTGACACATTGTTGTCTGCAGTGTTGTGGTGTTCTTAAGAAAATAAATGGAAACTATTAACTAATTAGAGGCGAGTCATTAAGCAAATGGATTTTAACTAGTGAATCATGCTTTCATAATAGCTTCACATATTATGTACAAAATAGCTATTGAAATATGAGGGCTATTTTAAGATTCAAAATAATTACTGGAAAGTGAATTTTCTGTGCCATTGCCATGTTTTCAATACATTGATCTGTTTGTGTCTGGCCATCAAACCTCACGGTCAGGTTGGTTCATGTCTTGGCACTGTGCTTTTTAAAGGAGTTATCCAGTGCCATTGTTCAGCTAAGTGTGACTCGGTGGCTTTTATGGAAGGAGAAGCAAAAGCTGCCAGCAGTAAACGGTGAAAATAAAGTAACGTTTAGTACAAATGGCATTAGTATTATTGATGTATATTTCTTCTAGCATATGACCCAAAGTACAACAGAGGTGCACCTCTTAACATTGCTATATAGTTTCTTAGTGTTTTTGCTAACTTTCACATAAAACATTTAAATTACTCCAAGTGTGGCTGCTTGTGAGCAGGACAGGTTGTACTAACTGCTCCTTATTTACTGACCTAGTGTTTAAGGCCCCCTGGAGTTTGTTTGAAAAGTTAAGAGATTTTCACAGTAAAGGTGCCATTTCTGAAATTTAAAGTGCTCTTTTCACCAGGAGATAAGTTCTCTCTGATTAAGTCAGTAATTCTTACTAAGCCATGTTTATAGAGGCCATAAACAATGGGTTCAGTGTGCTTGTTAAACCAGCTTTCCTTACCTCTCCACTCTTTTAAACAGAGACATATAAAATAAAAGGCAGGTGTAGATGTTAGTCCAATTTGGTTGGGTTTAGATGATTAATTATGGCTATAAGGAGTCCAGGAAGGATGGTTAAAAAAGGCTTGCAGTTGTAATCTGTGATGTTCAGTTTCACTGAATCACTTCTTTTGACCCAGCAAATCTCAGGTGTGCAGAAAGTTTAGATAAGCAAACTGTAATATTCATATTTCCTCTTGTTTTTACTCTCCACATTTTCTGCGAAATCTGAGCATACCGACTGTAAGTCCACTCTATTCAGCAGGTATCATCTCACTTGTAAACTTTATTTTTGTATTCAGGAAGTTATGAAATGTGGATGTATACAGCTGTGTGGCTGTGTACAGCTTAGTGGCTGCTTTTCTATAATTTGACTGGCAAGGCATACCTGTGAAATAACCTACATGTTGTTGCGATTTGCAGTGTGCAGTGGGATTTAATATGAAAACAGCAATTGGATGCTTGGAGTTTTTACTGAAATTCCAGCAGAGTAAATGCTTTAATTTCCAGGTTCAGCTCGGCTGATGCGTACTGCATCATTCAGCAAAAGAACCATTTGATTATTTTCAAAAGCCCTTAAGTCTGTCTGATAATATCTTTATTAAAAAGCATAGCGATATGAATGATAGCTAAAACAGATCGTGGTGAATCAATCAGTCTGCATTTCTCTGGGATATGGCACAACTGGACCATTGAAAAGCTGTATTTTTTTCAATGCAGTGCCAGAGAGATGCTATAAATCAAGTTATTCTCTGGTGTTTTATTAAATTTGAGCGTTTGTCTGCAGGGAAATCCACCGTCTTAATACGACTGTTGAGGTGTTTAAAGTAAGGTTGTGCTCTTTACTCTGTAAAGGTAGAGCACAGCATTTAAATGTTAGCCTGCTTTTCTGATACAGTCATTTCTGAGCCGTGTGTGGAGGTGATTACAGTGATCAGCATTTATAGTCCATGCATTGTGAACTGAATCCCGTTGTACTGTGTGCCGTGGCAGATACGTGCTGGTGAAAAGCTGTACAGCTGCAGAAGATCCCAATGTTTTGCTGAAGGGAGAGTTCGAAATCATCACTAGAGTTACAAAAACACCCATCGACAAGTTTGGGCACATTTGTTGCTTCTTTGGCAGGAATCAAGAGAAGGTTTTAATTTCTTCTGTCTTGTCCTACTAGCACTTGATTTTGACAAGCTTCTGGCTTTAGTTAAGTACGTTGCAAGACCTTTTTGTATGGGCTTTTTAGACTCCTCTGAGTATAAGAGATTTTTAATTTTCTGAAACAGGAAGGAGCAAATCAGTTTGTCTGGTGCTTCCGGACTCCTAGAAGGAGCGAGGCTCCTGGATTGCTTTAGAGTTTATCAGATGCAGCCAAGGGAGTGACCTTTGGTTCCTGAAATGGGGAGGAAAGTACCTTGGTTTATCATGCGGTACTTGTGCTTTTTGTATGGAAAGCATTAAACAGGGCTTTTTGCTATTTAAGTTAAAGAAAATCCTCACAGAAGACTTAAATTTAAATGTCTTCAGAATGTTTTAATAGTTATTGGCTTTTTTGTTTGTTCTCCCCCCACCGCTGCTATAACTACACAGCAGCTTTATTTATAGACAGAGAACTGAGCCTTGAAAACTGAAGGTAATTATTTAGATGCCTAAGGCTCAACGTTGCCATTGTTTTAGAGCTCTAGTTCCTTTCTTTTAAGGAAAACAATTCCCTCCACCCCACAAAATCTTAATTAAAAAATGTGAATGTTTGTGTTCATTTTCTTCCTTGATAACACACATTTAGTACTGCATATAATAAGTATTTGGGTTCTTGAATGTTTGTTTACAGTGCAGTGGGAAATTTCCTTGATCACCAGATCTTGCAGTTACACTTCTTCTGATTTTGAATTTACAAAACTGAATTTGCAAAGGGCATAACTCTGTACAGTTAGTAAAAACAAAAAGCCAACAGCAAAAAAAAAAAAAAGAAAAGAACACCATGATTCAATTGAGTTGATAGTGGAAATAGTGTTAAAATAAATGCTTAAATATTGTTCTTGTTTCTCTGCATTAGAGATGCAAGATTCAGCACAAGTTCAGAAGCCAAGCAGCATCCTTTACTTAATACATGTCTTACCTACTGGAAAAAACAGTAATTATAAATTAGTTTACAAATACGAAAAAATAAGCTTCAGATCTTTACTTAGCTAGAAGCTGTTCAACATACAAACTGTGTATCAGAGCTAAGATGAACATTAGCAGAGCTGCTTGAAGCAACTCCTTGATTGAATGAATAATCTTAAGCAGTGACCTTGTGGTTTCCACCGTTTCAGAATGAGCAATCTCAGGAGCTCCCTTCCACAAATAGAATGTTAATTCTTTAACACTGTAAGATAAAAGAAATGAGACAAGCAGTGACAGAAAGACAGGAATGTTGGTGTTTTCTTTAAACGTTCGAGTATTGTAACACCATGATGTCATGCTGTCAGTTGTGTACTTTATACATAGGAATTAACTCCTTGTATTTATGCCTTCCTTTTCCTTCTCTTGAATTTGCTTATCTTTAGAAAGTGAGAAACATGGCCTTAGAAGATGTAGTGATTCTTAACGTAGACACCAACACACTGGAAACCCCTTTTGATGACCTTCAGAGCCTACCTAATGATGTGGTATGTATTAAATTATTTTATTCAACCGTTTCATCACTTAGAAACGTAGATCCATTTGACCTGTTTGTACATTCAAGTGTCTCATTGTGCTGCCCTTAATATTCTGAGTAAACTGTTCTACCTCACTTGAGTTTTAATGAACACTGTGTGTTTTTTATGCTGAACTTTGATACTAAGTGGACTGTTTCATATTCACTTCTATCAACGCTCAATGAAAATAATTAATGAACTTATTTTTGTTCTCATTCAAACTTCTGGTAATTTATTTTTTAATAATTTGATAGAAATGTAATACTAGTGCTTGATCTACCCCTTTATTGGGCAAAAATACATCCGGCTCGTTACTTGCTGCTATAATTATCTTCAACAAAGAGTGGAAATGTGAATAAGAGCTTAAGAAGATATTTTTGAGTCAGAGGGTGACTGCTTAGGAGAAAAAGGGAAAAATCTATGGGGATTTTTTTTGTTGTTTTGTTTTTAACTAGTTCAAAATATTTTGCTGTCTGTTAGATCTATACCTTTTTATGTGTAGTTGAGAAATAAAATTGATATGCAGGGAGCTCAATATAAGCTGGTCTGTTTGACGAAAAATTCAAGTAATGGTGAATACCCAGTGCCTCCTACTGTGACATCCCATCATTTCTCTATGATCTGTGATCCATTCTTCGAAAACAGTGAGCTGCAGATAAAAGGTCCGTCTTGATTGTGAGCATGTTGGCTTTAGTCAAGCATTTAGTCTATAAAAGTTACTTCCATGAATCTTTCTGGCTTTTTATAGTTTTTCATTTTGATTTCACTCCCAGCATCCAAGTCTGCCAGCTGGTCATCACTCCTGCCATTATCCGCAACCCGGGAAATGACAGACTTGTAAATTTCATGAAATTATGTAAGAAATGTCTGGATAGCAGTGAGTGCTGGGCCTCAAACATGTATATGATTTGTCAACAATCAAGTATTATATTAGACTTTATGAGACTTCGTTAAAGGAGCTGTTGTAGGTGCACTGTAGAACATCAGAAGAGACTTCACCAATAAACACAGAACTTCAAGCTTTGGAATGCAGTAAATTTTAAGAGACTTCCTTCCTTTCGTTATTTACTTTTACTTTACTTTTTTAACAGTAAAGAGTTGTGTTTTATTAGTTCAAATTTCTTGATTCAGTTTTCCACAGGTCTTTTTAAAAGCTACATTTTGTCTTGGAGGATGTTTGGAGCATAGCAGAGGAAGTGCTGCCAGCAAATTCAATTAACTGGCATGGCTCACAAATAGCATATAGGGTGTAATTTTTTTTTTATTTTTTTTTTCACAACTGCTATATAAATACAGCTGGGATTAATATTTGTTGTAACAAAGCCTAAACTTGAATTGTGTTGCTTTGCATAATTAATATTTGGGATCACTGTTTATGTCTTGCTTAGCTTTGTTTCATTATTTTTGTTACCTAGATAGTAAAGTATTCTCCTCTAGGTCTTTTCCTTTCCCTCATACTGCTTAATATTTGGCTTTGACCACTAGAGAGCAGCTGCTCTTCTTTGCAAGAATTGAATTTCTGTCAGTTCTTTCATGCATCATGTGTTTGGAACTGTAAGTGGATCAAGTTGTTCATCTCAGCAGGGAGACTCTAAAGCCAATCCATTATACTTTTTTTTCTTTCTTTTTCTTATTTTTTTTTCTTCCCTGGGAGGATGGGGAGATTCTGAGTGTGTGTCCCTCCATGGATCTCAGTCTAAAAAGATACATTTATGATCTGAGAAACTAAAAATGTCTTCAACAGTTTCACTGCTCATAAATGGCTGTTTTGTCAAACTATTCTGCCAGTTTTCAACTCAGTATGAATAGCAAGTAATTCATGTACTGCTGAATATACACGATATTTACTTTGCTAAATTGAACGTGCTTATTTTCAGTATATTTTCATATAGTAGAGGACAAACATCTGTGTGATGCATTTGCCTTTGAGTAATTAATCCAGTGGAACAGTTGTAAAGCTCTTTTTATTTTTTCCCCTTTCCTTAAACAGCTTTCTAAATCAAGTAACTTAATGCCTTGAAGCCCTATGATTACTTTGGAGTTTGGAGTAGTGGACCTTACTCAAGTTTCAGGATAGTGATGTTGCTACCTGTACAGCTGATTCTCAGCCATCTAGGATAAACTTTCATTACTGTCTTGTACTGTCCAGATGAGCATGGGCTATAGTGAAATGTCTTCCCAGTTAACATTTGTGTTTCAGGAGCAGGATAGTATTGAGACAGTTCAGGTGGAACCAAATTAAGTCATTTCTTTGCTTGGTTACCTCGGCAGTACCTGGTAGCAAGCAGAATTCAGGTTGGGTCCCTGAAAATCAAGCTGCGTATTACTGTGTTACCGATTAACTGAAACGTGAAAAACTGTCCCTCCATCACCTTCTGCTTCTGATAGCTTGCTGAAAATCTGGCAGCATGAGAGCACCCTGGGAAGTAACTTTCCTTTAAAATAGTCAATATTAAAAAAAGAGATTTATTAAGGACTGTGATTACAATAAGTGCATCTGCTGCTGACAAGTCTCCTACACCACCGTCTGTGTTGCAAGGAATAGCAAAGAGAGGGGGTAGTAATTTTTTTTTATGCAACCCTTATGGATTTATCATGTATTTCCAAATAAGTGTCATCTTCTAGGCTCAGTTGTAGCCAGAGCTTCATATTACATGGAACAGAACAAAAGCTGACAATGTCAACTTGAGTTTTAGTAAATGAAGCTGTGATGCAATGCCTAATGTACAGTATACAGCAGTAAAAAGATCTTACGTATCTTATGACTGTGTTTGTACACTTGTACTGTTCTGTGAGTATTTTAGGCTGTCAGTAATTTGGTTTTGTCCACTCGATAGCAAGTTGCTACAAGTGGGGAGCCTGTATTACAGTTTTTCCACTTAGTGGGAAATTAACTGCTTGCAGGAGAGCAAGAAGTACTAAAGTACAACTCTATAGGAAAACCATTTCCTTAAAGGTGAATCCATTTTTATTTCTTAAACTGTGTTTGCAATAGAATGTTTCTTGCTTTATTCATGTTGACAACTGAAAAGCCTTGGACCTAATTAAAAGAATTTCCACTAGCACCTTTACTGAACCATTTCATTATGCTGCATTGCACAGATTGCATTTTGAAACATGGTGATAGTTTAAATCTGACCTTTAAACCTGAACTGCCAGAAGTATAAAAATCTTCTTTAAAACACTCTCAGGGTAGACTGCATGTATATGTGTCTGTTTGGCTAGAAATAATCTTCATATTGAGTGGTCACAGTCTTGTTTTTATAAAAGTGCTACTGTTTCTTTTAGGCAAGAGAAAATCATGATTTCACTTGTGTACTAAGCAGAGCTTTGTACTGCAAAATCTAACTGGTCCTGTGTATTAACTTTTACCAGAGTAAAAAATGAACTTTTTTACTCCTGTTAGTCTCTTAACATTTAATTTCCTTAAAATTATGACATTTCTATTGCAGTGACTTGATAGGGGGAATTAATGGGTGCATACATGAAACAAACATCCATACAGTGTTAATCTTAGGAGGGAACAAATTATCTGAAAGCTTAAGGAATAAGCAAAATATCCATCAGTGATCTATAGGGAAACTGAAACTTTCAGTTTGTTGTGCAGCTGAGAATAGTCTCTTCCTTCTAGACAGATGGCGAGTTCTTTATCTTCAAACTAATGGTTAAAGAAAACCACATACAAACGTGTTTGAAATGGATTTACAAGTTTTTCATGGGCAGAGGCATTTTATTTCATTTTTGAGAACTACCTGTAAACAATTTACTTAATACAGGAAATGAAGTCCTATTTCATGTTTACAACTATCATCAGACTCCTTCAGACATGAAAGAGTTTGGTGTGCTGTTCAAGTTTGAAAATGTGATTAAGCTGTTACACTTGGAGAATGACAGAAGTCCTTGAGAGACATAATCTCACTGAGCAGCGCTGAGCTTGATTTTGGGATGCAGTAGACTTTGCACTGAACCTCTTCTCCTGTATGATGGCAGTATGTTCTTATAGGTTCATTAGCGCGTGGATCATTGACATAAGCCGTGGCATCCCGATTTATAAACAGTACTGGACGTGCTCTTGATTACTGCTGTTACCCTAAATAGCCGTAATGAAAGTTCTTCTATAGCTGAAGCTGCAGGGGAAAAAAAAAGTAAAAAAAAAAAAAAAAAAAAAAAGGCAAATTTTTTTCAAACTGTTTTAATGAAAATAGGTGGCAATATCTAGTTTTATATATTTATGTATTTAAAACCTAGCAACAAAATGAGGAATTATTCCCTTCCCTTTGCAAGGAACAAGTGAGTGATGTGCTTTCCAGAGAGGTAAAACTGAAGCACCCGAGCAGCTGATTCCTGAAACCGAATTACTGAAGGGAAGCTTGTAGCAAAACTCCAAGGCAGAAAAAACTCATTTGATAAAATTTTGGAGATACAGATGAGGCAAGACTAAGCTTTTTGTTCTGAGATGGAGAATGAGATTCTGGAAAGGTCTTGGAAGTTGATTTGAACACGTGAACCATTGGTGTAGCTTTGTGAGGTGCTGTTCATGCTCTCAGAAAACAGTGGTTGTGTTCACTGTGGTGGAATCTCCCACTTCTGTAAATTGTTCTCCATATCTGTTCTGTGAAGTATTTAGAGCTGCTCCAAAGGAGTTTTTCAGAATAGCATTTGAGTTAAAGAAAGTCTCGCTTTTTATTGGTTTCTTTAAAGTCACAATACACACTTTTAGGAGTCGTGATCTTCTGCAAATCAGGGTGGGTGGGGGTTTCTGCGTCCCTCGGCAGTGCTGGCTCCTTCCTGCCTTCCCCTTAAGGAATCCCACCACTCTCAGCTGCCTTAAAAAGCGCTGGTGGAATTTGTTTCCAGATTGTTGTTTTTGTATTGCTGGGTGTTCCGTGAGATCTGTCTCAAAAAATTACTTGTCCTAGTTCTGTCTTCAGTACCAAAAAATTGCTACTGACATAACTATTTGTTAATGATTTAACAAACCCAATAGCGGTTGCAGCACAGGCTCAGCAAGCTTGATGTTTGACTTTGAAAGGTTTTTTATCTCCTTTTATGGCCTGTGTTTGGGAGAGAAAAGCGCTGTCACTACCAATAGCGTATAGGTACAGCACCTTCCTTCAGCAGCTCTCAGCAGCAAAGGTATCAAACTAAGAACCTCCTTGTGTGTCTGAGCAGCGCTGAGTGCAGAGAACAGCAGTGGGTGACCCTGTACAACTTCAGCCCTGCTGTACATAGGAAACATCTGCATGTGGAGGGCAGGGCAGGGCGGGCACTGCGGAGACGGAGCACATGGACTGTTCTGAGGGGCAGAATGGTGTGGGCTGGAAGAAGTGCTGGGCTCGGAGCTCTGCCCTGCGCTGGGTGCTGGCACTCAGGTGTGGGGCTGCAGCCGGTTGTGGGCCGCAGGGCGCAGCCGTGCCCATGGGTCAGGCGGTGCCTCAGGGAGTGCGATCGTGGGAAAGGCCTTCTGACTTCAGTTTAATATTGGTAAAAACATCTTTGTGAGTCTGAAGTTTAATTCAGCTGATTTTTTTTTTTCATGAATTCTAATCAAGAATGACACAGAACTCCACGGGCTGCATTCAGAACAGTGCCCGGTGTTGGTGGCCTCTGTGTGGAGGGAGGGCTGAGATGAAGCCGTTGTCATCCTGATGGTTCCGTAGTAGTCATTCCTGGGAGGACAGAAATGGCAGAGGAATGATTTCGGAGCAGAAGACTTCAGTTCTGAATTAATGATGTCCTTTTTTGTTGTAACTGTGAGAGCTTTTTCTTTAGCTGCGTCCCGTGGTGTGAAGCTGTTTGTGATACGAGAGTCACCTGCAGTGGTGGTGTGATTTCAGGTTTCTGCTCTGAAGAACAGATTGAAGAAAGTTTCTACAACCACTGGAGATGGCGTTGCCAGGGCTTTTCTAAAGGCGCAGGCGTCTTTCTTCGGGAGCTACAGAAACGCACTGAAAATCGAACCTGTAAGTGGGGAAGAAGTCGGGATCTGTGGGTGGGCAGATGGGGCTGATGGGCGTTCAAAGCGCGTAACCCACTGCCTGCGGTCTGTGTTTGGGCAGCCTGGAGGACCAGCTGATAAAGAAATGCAGCAGGCGTGGTTGGGAGAAAACCTCTCTCAGGAGAGGGATGGGAGTTACTGCCTGTAGAAGAGAACAAAATTAGGAAAAAGATGATAAAAATGTCTTCGTTAATGATCATAGGATGCACAGCTGACCATTTTCTCTCTCAGCAAAACCTCAGTATTCGCTGTACTGTTTTTAAAGGCAGTAAAAGATTTGTTTCTTTTAATGTGATTTATGCGTGAATTTGAAACAAGTAAGTGCAAATTATGGAATCATGGGGTTTAAGAAGCTAGTAAAAATTAGTAAAGAAATTGTGCTTTTACAAAAAAAAAAGTCTGGAGTTCGAACTACTGACACTAAACGTTCTCATAGGGAAATTTAATCTCATGCTTCTGGTTCAAAGCTGATCTGTAGTTAGCAATGATTTCGTGCCATCTGAGCGGGGGAAAGATTTTTCAGTACTTGATCCTTTATTTTATTGCTTCTAGTGAGGCATCTGCTCCTGGCTTACTGCAAGGGCTTCGTGGACTTAAATACAAGTAATTCCAGCCAAATTCACTTATTTCCATGTTTTGTGACATTTCTATGAGGTACATAGGAGGTTTCTATTAGAGTGTGTGCGTTAGCTGATAGACAGAGTCAAGGTGTCAGAGATGGTGTGATGAACATTGAGGTATAATTTATGAGATGCATTCCAGAAATATGGGAAATGGCACAAATAAAAATAATAAACGTAGAGTGTTCTGCAGAACACTCTAAAAAGTGCCATGTATATTCTATTCCCGTCCCTAATCTAAATCAGGGGAAATTTAAGCATGTGCAGTGACAAATCTCAGGGTGGTGGTCACAGGCTTATTTGATCTACTGCTGTTTAGATCACTGGCTGCTTCAGAGGAAGTCTGTAGAGGGGAAACCGTACTCTTGCCTTAATGCCATCATCTCTCATCCACAAACATTTGGAGGTAGAGCAGAAAGTTGGTGGTACCTGCGGAGAGCCTGAATACCCCTGGGAGATGCTAAAATGCATTCTGAGTGTACGTGGGGAGGGTAAATGAGGAGAATGAGAATGAAGGCTTGCTAGTTGGACAAAGGTATATTCTGTGTTCTGCTTTTCTGTGAAGACTATTTGTCTACGTGCCAGACATTATTAGTACTCTCCCATCTAATTTTAGTCATTGTGTAAAAGAAAGGGAGTTGGATGGCTAGCGTAGTGTTTGTTGGGGTTGAAGATGTTTCTATTCTTAAAATCTCATCATTCCTATTGTATGTTTTACATGTTATTCTTAATGCCAAAGGGAAAACTACTTAGTCTGAATTTTAGAGTCTCGTTAGCACCATCGAATAAGCATCACTCCAAGAAGCCACATTCAGGGTTCAAAAGGGACACTTGAAATCAGTGTGATTCCTTCCACTTCTTACTTGGGGAAATGCACGTATGGTGTATGTGGGGGAAAAAATAAATAGCATCCACTTGTATGTGCATAGCTGGGTGTAAGTATTGTGCTTTCAGAGGTGAAATAGTGGCAGATATTTGAATTGTTGTCCATATAAACAACAAAGATGTCAGGGAGACTTCCCTTTATTTACACGGGCTGTCTTGTTCTCTGATGCTCCTCCCAGTAGTTGCCAGGCAACTCTGGGAATATTGGTGTGTGCTTTGCCTGGGTGTGTGTGAGATTATCTAGTTAAGGAATTCGTGAAGAAAAATAAAAATTTAAATTGCTTTTCTGGAAATACCATCTGGTATTTTGAAGGCTGAATGTTAAAGATGAACATTCCAAATTAGTTGACAATGGCACATCCCTAGAAATAGCAACTTCAAGGCACAGCTAACCTCAGGAAGTAGAAGAAATGTCGTTTGTATGTGATTTCATCAAAGAAAACACGTAAACATAGTTGCACAGATCTATTATAAAATGCAATTCTAAGGATGAAGAGGTAAAAATTTCAAAGCATTATTTACCAAGTCATTTTATATGTTAAAAATCTTATTTCTGATTATAAATTTTAATATCATGTTCTATGTAAAAGACTTGCAAAGCATAGCAAGTGTTTCTTTCGCGTGCTGAGCACATCAGGATCAAATGACCTTGGTTCTGTTTCCAGTTCTGCCACAGGTAGCTTGTAAGGTATTGAGGGGTCACACAACTACTCTACACTTCATTTTGAAGTATGCCAACAGTGAATGCAGTTACTGAGAAACTTTTGTTGCTGTTGGGAAAACTGTGTTTCAGAGTTAACTGAAAGCTCGTAGAAAACTTCATCTCAAGTAGATGCAGCAAAGCTGCACACAGTAGTCCATAGTGCAGCAAAATGATCAGAAAATGTACTCAGTATTTTCCCAAAAGAAAATGTGAATATAATAGTAACTCATCATCACTGGCAATTTGGAACGTAGCCGACATCTTGCAGCTTAAAGCACTGTTTTCTGGTGTGGAGCACTTCAGATGCTGCTCTGGAAATTCTGCTCTTTGCTCTCATGCAGTTCCGTCTCCTTAGATGAGCTCTTACTCTGGAAGCTTCTAATCCAAAGATTGTGGTCTTACGTACTGTACATCCAAACCAGCACAAAAAGGGAGTCGCTGCTGCTGTGAACCTTCTGAGGAGTTCAGTAGCTACGACTTCTGCAAGAAAACGCATATCCAGATAGTGCAAACTGCAACTGCAATCAGAAGTGATGGTGTAACATGATCACTGATTCATTTATGTTTCCTACTGTGCATACATGCTTCTGGAAATTGCTTTAAGCCAGATTGATTGTGTGAAAGTATATCTCTTCCATGTGGTGTACTTACATCTCCATAAAGCTCTGCTGCTGTCAGGCTCGGTAGATCACTTTAGAAGTGGTGTGTTTGCTTTGGCTGTATGCAGATTGGTGCAGATTGTTCACATTAAGAATGTTACTTAAAGCAGGGATGCCATTGGGAGCACTTTGTTCCACTGAACGATTTTTTAAAAATGCCCAATTTTTTGCCGTTTGTGGAGGGGATGTTTTTATCGTACTGCTGTACCTTTGGGTTGTTTGTAGTACTTCGAAGTTGTGTGGATTGGTAACCGGGAGGAACAATGAGAGCTGTCATCTGCGCCGCGGGTGTCGTCCGTGCACTTTGCTATGCTGACACCTAGCGGTTAGCAGCAGCATTTCATTTACTTCCCTGATGATCTTTGTTAAGAAACAAACATCATCACATCTGTGGTGTAGGTAACTTCTGCCTGGATTCACTAAAAGCAGTAGCAGGTCGGGTGTGATGCAGTAGAGTGACTTGGCTTTAGGTTTGTCGTGTCCTGTAGGTAATGTAAGTCACACGGATGCTTTTTCATCCAGAACTCGTGTGGCAGCTCAGCAGCAGGCTCCAAGTTTGGCAGTCTTCTGAAATTGTGAGCTTTGCTGTGTGCTCTCTGGGTATGTGGTCACTCCAGTAGATATTGCAACAGGCCTTATGTATGCTGAGTGCAACTTATTTTTTTGCTGGGAGATTTGAAAAGCTTGTTTACTTGCACCATATAATCTAAACACTTCAGTTTCCAGATCTTTGTTCCTTTTCTATTTTGTTGCTGTTAGTACACTGTAAGGTGAAAATTTAGGTGCTTTTCTTGAGTGCTGCTATGTTTTAATGGATAACTAAGGAAGTTCATTTTAATATTCATAACACAAGCAGATATCAGCAGCTACGTGCTGCTGCAGGTAGTTTTTTTCTTCAACTTCACAGTTTTGATTTGATAATTTCTCATTCATGCAGACACTGCAGACTTTGGTATTTTCTTAATGACTCAGTATACATGGCATGCTGAACTGAGAGGTATTTGTAATACAAGGTGAAATAAAGTAAATTGTTTTCCTGCTGATCTGCCTCCGAAGAAGCCTGTCTGTGCATGAGATGCTGGTGTTTGTCTGTATTTGAATCATGCTGCTCTAGTTTGTTTTTAAAGTTGATTATGGATTTATTAATGCACATTAGAGTGATGAACTCTGCCTTCTGGATGAAAGTTTCTTTCTTATATTGTCAAACCTGTATCAATCTGATTTTGGTGGAAATGACAAGCATCTAGCATCTTTTACACTGGTTTCATACAATAGCAGTATATGTGGGTGCTTGCAGTATGTGCCAGTTTGTGGCTCTAATTTGTAACAGAGTCTCTGAGGGGGTGAGATTAATGCAGTTGCCATAGTTGTAGTGAGAACTGCAGTCCGCACTATTTGGCTTTTGCTGTTTTCTTGAGCCCAACAAAATCCTTCATTGCTTTGCTCTCCTTGAGAGGCCCTTCTATCTGCAAATGAATTGGAATGAAGCACTAACTGTGTTATCTATCAAGTTTTGCACTCTTTCTAAACAAATCAGTCTGAAAAGTGGGGAGGAAAATAGCAAAGGAAACTGACTGTATTGTAAGCGTAATTATAATTTTATGTGGGCATTGTGAAATCAATGTCAAAATGGAAAAAATTGGTTTTAGCATCATGTGAAGCAGTAATTTATTTTTATGCCTTCATGATTAATTAATCAATATTACTGAGGTTTATCACCTGTCCAGCCATTTCTTGTATAACTGAATAATTTCTGACTAACTTCAATTGTCCTGTATTGAATTGGTTCAAATGTAACTTAAATACTCTTCAGGTAAAATAAAATCTCGAAGGACAGAGTGTGAGTGTGCTTTTGCACTTCCACTTGCTGTGGACTCTCCTTGGTGCAGTCAGTTGGTGATTTATCAAGTGGACAACTGTGTCTTAAGACTTTATGAAACTCTTCGTATGAAACTGTGCCTGTTGGAATTATATAACTCAGTTTTCAAACTGCTTTATCTGAATTACATTGTATGTATGTACACATCATTTTCTTAGTTCTATTCTCCTTTCAAGTCCTGCTAATTTATGTTTGAATTCTAAACAGAGGAGATGGTGT